GGCCCGACGAAGGCTCAAAAGGGACTGGAATAGAGTGAAGATATTGCTTAACATAGCCCTAGAAGTCACTATCTAAAGGTAGTGTCTGCGAGATAGGGACTTGAACGTCATAAACTGGAATACACCCCCTAACGTGGCCAAACATAGCTTTCATATTGCCTGACACGTTGGGCCATGTTAAATCCCTATCTCGAAACATGGAATCTATGCTCGGCCACGTTGGGGAGGGGGGGCGGCACTTCCGGGGCTATGTTCGGTGGAAATATTGGCCCCTTCCATGCGGTGCGGGCGGTTACCGTCGCGAAGCGACGTGAATAGACATCATTTGTTACAAAACTCCTTCATTGATTCATAAGGTCCATTACGATCAGGTTGTCAATGAACTATGGGAAACCGATCTTGCTAAAGATGACAAAAGAAAATAGGACACATCAGCTTTGGAATGCTAGAAAAATCACGCAACACCGCACAGAAGAGTTACTGCTTTAACACTTTGAGAGAGGCATGCCATTACCAGAGGGAGTTTCGAGGAAGGATTTATGCCATACAAGAAGAAATAGAAAAAGAAGAAGGAACAAGCATGGGCAATACCTAAATCTTAACAACCAATAGAAATATAATAGTCAATGGGTTTAGATATATAAAAGAGCTGCTACTTCAGTATGATAACTTTCCAATGTATGAAGCAAGTAATAAACTGGCAGAAAATAGCATTAAGGTCTCTTCAGTGAAGAGTGCACTACAAACAAAACATGTTTATGTATGTTTTTAATACTGACCTATGTAACTCTTGCCCGATCCAGCAAATTTTGCTGACCGTTTTGTTCTTCAATTTGCTTACATATTGCGGGGGGTGTCCCATTCATCCACCACCTCCTCTATTAGTTCATTTTCTATTTTGGAATTTCAATTAAGTCATTACATCTAAATGTTTTTTGGTGTGTTTGTCAGTCTCCAGCTGCCTTCTTCAACGTTCAATATTGCGTCTGATAGGATTTTGTGAAATTATTTGGTTTGCACACCACTCTAGTTATATAAATCGTCTTCATGGATCGTGAAGGCATTCATAACTGGTTAAGTCAATAAATAGAAGGTGACGCAACAACCTATATATATAACAGGTTTTTTAGATTTCCAGTTTATAAGGGGGATGAAAGGATGAACTACCAGAGTTTGATCACAGCAATTTTGATGTCATCTTCTTTGATGAAATGTATATGACCTATCTTTATATCTTTTGTCAGGTATTTATATACTTAAAAACATAAGGACAATAACATCATCATAGGCGCCGGTGATACAAAACAGTTAGAACCAATCAATGATGTAACTAACACCCAGTCAAAGACCACAAGATGACAACACAGTCAAAATTATGCTGATCAATTTGTCCTCTGAAATCTCACCAAACCATTGCAAATACCAGTGAAATTGTCCAAAAGGTAGGTTTTAAACAAGGTGTGGCATATGTTTGTATGCCTCGTGCATCTTAATACTGGATCTTACTTGGGTAGTTGTAGCTTGCTCATTCCACACAAGCCAAGGCACATTTCTCATCAGGCACCTGAATTTGAGTGAGCGCCGTCCGTACACAACGCGCAGCGGAAGCCGCCCAAAAGCCCTTCTCAATGCTGAGACATGCTGAGATCATGACGAAAATATCAGAAGCAGGGGATGCAAGGAGCTCAGTCGTAGCAATGTGGCACACTCTTTCCACCAGCTCCTGCGCCGGAAAAAAAAATAGAACTCGGCCCGCTGACGTCTCCATGGTGCAACTGAATGCGGCCAAGTGGCGGAGTTGCCTCCATAATCCTGAGAAAAGAAACTACTAGTAAGGCACTTGTTACTACTAGCCATGCACTTGTTACTAAAAGCTTCTTGTTACTGCTAGTAAGGCACTTTGTTACTACTAGTAAGGCACTTGTTACTACTAGCGATGCACTTGTT